TCATATGGATTTTTAATTGCATCCCAGTTGTTATTGAGTACGGTCTTTGACTTAGGTTCTCTATTACTAGTAGTTATGCACAAGGCAAACAGTTCAGTTCGTCAATCTTTTGGCGGCACCTCAGGTGTCATAACCACACCTCTGAGAATAACTTAGTAAATAACTTCGTCAGGGGGCTGATGGTGCACTTGCTTCTTCAGAGTCTGTGTAATTTATAGCAGCACTTCATGTTCCAATTCCAGGAGATGCGTCTCAGACTCTTTATGGAAATGGCAGTCTTCATACAGCTCTGCCAGTTGTTTCTGGGTGCCTCTATAATTTTGTATTTGTCCAGATGTGGATGAAACTTGTGATCAAACAGCTCCACTCAAACATGTCTCTGTTCTGTCCTGTCCCATTCCATCTTACTCTATTGTATTCCTTTACTCCTCCCAGAGGAGACCCTCATAAGAGGGATTACTGGAGTGGGAGGGAGAGGAGGCACTGTAGGATGACGAATTGTGTGGTAACCTTAGTTGACATCTTCTACCCATGTCAGCTGCTGCTGAAATGGGCTGGCCCATTGGGAAAATTAAGAAAGAAAAGTGTTACAAACGGAGGGGTGGCTTGTGACACAGCAGTGCACCTTCAGCAGTGATGACTGAGGAGAGAGATACCAAAACCAGGTACCAAAAGAGGAAGGCTGACTCATGCCTCCATGTGATGTGATCTGTTTACCTTAATGCCAGGGAGATAAATACTGTGGAACCAAAGTAATGAGCTGCTGTTTGATGATCCTCTGGGAGGCCTGGGAGAAAAGCCATGGCCACAGGTGCACATGAACTCAGGGACTGACGACAAGGATGTAGATGGTGGTGTAGAAGAGTGACTTGGGATGCAGAGGTGTCTCCTTTGATGTAAGTTGGAGGAGGTGGAATTCCTTCACCTTTGTCTCTGCTGCCACTGGGATTTGGGAAGAATCCTTGGAAGAGAAGGTCTTTGAGATGGTGGAGAGTGGTTGTCCTCTCTCCATAGGTACTGACACAGGCTTCCCCACTGAACTTTCCCTCTGGTTCTGTGTTTTGTAGCACTTGTGAGCAGTCTGTACTGGCAATAGTGGCTTGCCTCAGTGCTCGGAATGCACTACCAAGGGGACTGATGTAGGTCTGTTGGCTGTGTCTACAGAAAACTGAAAAGCATCAGGGCAGAAATCAGCACAGTCAGTAGCAAAACCATTGGTGTTGGAGAATCCTGGATCAAGTCTGGCACTGCTTCTTGCGGTATTTTCTCATCTGTGGGTAGGGCTTAAACAATGTCCTCAGCTGGTTATCTGTTTTGGCACCTTCCTGAGCTGGCTTTCAGCCGTGGTTAATAGGTCAAATCTGACTCAAAGAGCTGATGGACAAATAGTCATGTCTGGTGGGGCAGTGGAAAACACCAGTGCAGTACTCAGATGGCTACTGAGGGAGCTCAGCGTATGCTTTGAGTGGAAGAGGTCTGTCCTGTGCCAACAATCCACTGATACACCAGAATTCTGGTATCCTTGGGTACCTCAACTTGCCCTTTGTTAGGTGAAATTCCCTAGATTTACAAACCTGAGCAGGAAAGCATTTGCAAATACAGGGCCAACTTAAAATGTGTATCGTTAGAATATGTGTCTCACTTAACAGTGTGGATGGGAGAGTCCAAAACTGGCATTCATATTTCACACTTGTGAAAGCTATTATTAAATCCCCAATCATGGGATTCTCAGTCATTGTGAAGTGTTGAGAGAACAAGTCATCTACACATATCATGGAAAATTCCCCATCTCTCAGGATGTCACATGCTGGGAAAAGGATGAAGCACAGGAAAGCACCTCATTGGAAATGAATTCATAAAAAGAAAGCAGAACTGCACTTGGATATACAAATACGGTGTCTCACAAAGAGACTGAGATGTTTCTTTTAGTCGCTACTAGGAATAAAGGGGGGAAAAGGCCATCTCCAAGTGTCTCAGTCTTCCACTATGAAGAGATGTGCAGATGAGCATTTGGAGATGATCATGTCTGATAGTGAACAAGAGGATATAAGCAGAATCCTCTTGTTAATCCCTCTCTGTCAAGTCTAAGTTTGTGTACTCATAATCCCCATCTGGTGTCTGCAGCTAATTAAAGGTAGGTGAACATATAGAAAGTTAAGCCTATGATTGTGAAAGCAAACAGAAACTTAGGAATTAGAACACTAGAGCAGATGAGCAGCTCTTTCTTGAAGAACCGTGGTTGACTTTGGTGAAACCTACTGCATGCTCAGTACTTAAAAAAGATTTCAGGTGCCTCAGCACAGGTTATAGAAAGCTCACCCCTTTTAAAAACAAAATAAACCTATTTGGAACCATTCAGCATTCTTCTGAAGTGCAGAGTATCAAACATTGGGGTTGAAACACAGTAATCTTTCCACTGTTTGCATTTCAGACAGCCATGTCAGAAGGCTGTGTAACTTTTGGACACATTTCCCATTAATAGGGGACAGACAATATTTATTTATGCTAATCTGATTAAATAAATGGAAAAGTATACATTGGGATGTTTCCATAACATTGGACTAAAATTTGGGTATTTGTGTACTGCTGATCTTCATCTTACTCTTCTAGGGCTCTGACCTGTAGTGAAAGAGGAGAGGAAAATTAACAAGAAAGGAGAGGAAAGGAAAAGAAAAAAACCAGCCCCCAGCTCTACCTTTGTACAGTTGTTGGAACAAACCCAGTAATTCTGTACAGATTCTTTGCAAGTGTTGTGTGAGCACTGTGACTGCTATGGACTGGCTTCAGTAGAACTGGCCTCTACTCTTGCTGTTGGAGAGAACGCATGAGAAAGGGTTCTCACATGGGCTTCAACTAGATAAAGAGTTTGTTTTCATTTCACAAATTGAGTGGGATAAAAAAGATCATGAGTTCAGGAGAGACAGTCTGCTTAGGAATACTGAAGGCTTTCATGGGCAGCTTTCTATGCAGTATTTAATTTTGAGTATATTAAGAGAATCTTTGTGAAATGAGAATATAAATGAGAAATGACTAAGAAAATATAAATGAGATATGACTAAGTTCCGTCAGGTCATGCTTCATTGGCGATTTTTGCTTGTTGGTCTCTACTAGGAGGTGTGGCAAATTTGTGATCGATCCTAGTATTGCAAGGAAGTTTCTAGGTCTCAATGGAGAGAATCATTGGTTCTGGTGATAATCATCTGAGAAAGTGATACAAACTTAAAAAGTTGTCATGTGCTTCTGCAAGTCTGTCATATAGACTCAACTATTTCTATTCTGGATGGCTGAACAAGACTATTTAACCAAATACAGGAATATTTCACCTAGGAGTGTCAGTGTTTCATGTTTTGTGAGACTAAACCAACCAGTCCAGAGTTTCTTGACATGTTTGAGATGGACATGGTTTTCATTCATGAGATTTTGTGGGGAGGAATGTTGGAGGCAGTATTTGGTACAGTTGCTTGGGTAGCATGGGGTAGCTGTAGCCAGCTCCAGTAGGAATTATCAATCAATTCACAAAAAAACTTTGTCAGAACAGAAGGGAGAATTGACTATGGCGATGGCAACTAGGAAAGCAGTCTCCATGATTAGCCATGTGGGAGAAGAATATTATGTAGTTAATTTCTCTCTGCCTGGAGCTTTTAATGGGAGATGACACTGATCAGAATTTGCAGGACTGAAGACTTGGCAGGAAAAAAATAGACTGGTGTATACTCAAGTGTACAGAGATGATCCAATAGCCATATCTTAGTGCAGGGCTGTAGTGGACTGAGTTGGGGCAGTGGGGTGTCTCACTGAAATGCGAACTGACTGTCTGAGTACGTATTTTCCAGTTCAACGCAAAGTGAGATTAGTTTGTCCAAATTGCCTTCACTGATGAGCTCCAGGTTGTAAGCTCCTAAGCTGGAAGGCATTAAATTCTCTTTTCTTCTAGACTATAATTGTCTCTTACTCTGGGGGTAAAATTCCACACTGGAAAAGGTAAGAAGATACTTAAACAGGAAAAAAAGCTAGGTTTGAAGTACTCTGGGCAGTCCTAGAGCAGATGCAGCAGTCAGAGGTGCATGTCTCCCTGCTACATTTCAACTGACTGATGTAGTCGCTTTTCTTTTTCTTTTTCTCTAGAGGAGAGGAAATGAGACACAGCTGGGATTTCTTTACTGACTTGTTAGGTAACATGACAGACTTACAGATGTTAAAGTTGAAAGAAAAAGATGATGTGGGTGTTACACATATGAGGCAAGTGGAGACTCTTGAGCTGAGAAGAGAAGAATCATCCATAGGGTTCCTGTTTATGAACTGTCACTGTCAATTGTAGAGCACCTGAGTTGATGTGGGTGAGATGAAACACCAGCCTAATGTTAAATGTGTTGGCTGGTGGTTTGAGGAGAAACTCCCAATAAGGTTTTCTTGTTGGCAGGGAAGACTTACCTATTCTCTGTATAAGAGTCTGATTCTCTAAGGTTACAGAAATGGGCTGTATGAAACAATGTGTGCAGAGGGTTGCGTGTGCTTGAACTTGCGTTAAGGTTGCCCTGTATCTGTTAGACTCCTGTCGCTTATTAGACTTGCTGTCAGTGTCAAAGAGTCAGCAGTAAGACTTGGTTTTAGAAAGTGAAGAGTGTTAGAGAGGCTGATTTATTATGGCTTAACTGCAATAAATCTAGCCTCCTGCTGCTAGGAGGCTCAATGATTTGTTTAATGTAGAGACAGTTAACTGAGGGATTTGGGAACAGGACTGGGGAGGCTCTGCTGTGAGTGCCTCCACTGATCTGAGCAGTTGCAGTAATCTGTAAAATCTCTTGCAGTGAGTCCTTTGGTTAATGTCATCCAGTGCTTCCCCTTTCTTGTCTCAGGTCATCGTGTGTGTGTGTGATGTGTGCATGACAGCTTTGCTGCCAGTTGCATGAGGTTTGTTGATGAGGTGGATCAGAAGCCAAGAAGAGGTAAAACAAATGTGAGTTAATTTACAGCCTGTATCACTGCGTATGGTACTTACCTTAACTAGAAAGCTTTCGGGGTAGTGTAATCCAGAACCGTGGCTTGGGGCTTGTAGGAACTGCCCGGACTGTTGCTGCCATCCCACCCTTGGGGTATCCTTGTGGGCGGCACTCATAAATGTCATTGGTTAACACAGGTGGAATATCATGTTAAGTATCTAACCATTTCTATACATTTCTGTAACTAAAATGTGTGGAGACTGGGATGAATTCTGGAAATAAGGCTGTGAAACAACGTGAATCTGGACTACTGCCCTCAGCTCAAAGATTAAAGATCAGGTAGAATACTGGGGAAGGGCACATGTTTTGGAGGCTGGTCTGCAACTGTGTGTCTGAGGGCTGGGTGAGTGGGAACAGAGCAGGAAGTGTTTTTGCTGGTATGCCACCAGTCCTGTCTAGCTCAGCTCCGCAATAATGGGCATGAAAGACTTCTTTGGGTCACTATGAAGTAAATTTGGGGAGTTTGAATGTCACTTCCAGAGCATATAAAGCCTCAGTGGAGTTGCTGTTAGCTAGTACTCTAGTCAGTCTTGGAGGACCCTGAAGTTCTCCTTACTTTGGTAGGGGTGGCCCTTACCAGAAGTAGAGTTTCTGGTGTGGTAATTAAAAAAAAAAAAAAAAAAAAAGGCATTTGGATGCACCTTGCCTTGCTATTTCCTTTCTAGGTTTCCAGAAGACCTCTTCTCCCAGGCTTTTAAGTGTAAATTTGATTAAAAGTCAAACAGAACTTCACCCTTTCTTCTGAACTTGCCCTTGCCCTTAAAAACTGAGCCTATAACTT